TCGCTCGGTGCCCATCCACTCCACGGATAGGACTGTCTAAGGCTAGCAGTGATACCCTTGCTGCCCAGTGTAATGGGCATTCCTTTCACTGCCCTCTTGGCTGCACTTGGCACGTCGTGACTTGCATCCCACACATTCTCCTGTTTCTCTGACCTCTCCTCCCACACCATCTCCCAACTGCTCAAGGTTGGACCTCCTCAGGACTGGGTCCAGCTCTCGTGTGGTGACTCGACATTTGGTCCCAGATACTCTTATCTACCCCGCAGCTTAGGCATCATCTACACCAAGAAAGACACATTTGTAAACCCAGCACACGTCTCCCTTCTGGGTTTTGACACCTATACCTAATTTTCTACTTGACCTATCACTCGTAAATTCTAGAAGAGATTTATATTTGACAAGTTCAAAACTGAATTAAAAAATACAACAAATACAGGCGATATAAGTGAGAAAGATGAGAATACCACATTGTTAACATTTGTTAGTCCAGAAGGGGGAGAATGATAATTAACTTCTTCCTAATATATCTCTGCAGTTTGACTTGTTAAAATGAGTGGTAATTTCATTGTATAATTGAAAAAAATCAAGGAAAGAAAGTCTGAATTCATCCTCTCCCATCTGCAGAGCTCTTTCTTCTTCCATCTGGGTGTCGTCGTTGACTCTGCCCTCCTCTGTTCCTTGAGGACAATGTCATCCGGTCTGGTTGCCTCTGTCCCCAAATCTCTTCTCTCCATTCTACTCGCCTTCACTGGGAAGGCCACCATCACATCTCGCCAGGATCATTGCAATGGCTCCCTCATTGGCCCTATAATCCACTCTTCCCCCCTCCCCACCGTACATTCTCTATAGAAGGTCGGAGAGTGATCTTCAAACGACATTCTGACCTCCTTCCTTCAAAACCTTAGCAGAGTCGTATTAAGGTCTTCTCTCAGCTCTTCAAACGGACCGAGATCCTTCCCGTCCCTCCCTGTGGTTCCCCACCCTGTCCTCACTTCTCTGTCTGGTTAGCAACCTCTCAACACTCAGGGCTCAACTACTGAGATAAAATGCTTCCTGTGGGTCTCCAGACAAGTTCCCCTCATAGGTTTCCATTGGACATGGTGTTTCTCCTTCATAATACTAACATTGAAAATGTTGTGTTTGTTTAAAAATATTTGCACCTCTTGCATTGGCATGTAAGGTCCATGATGGCCTGGAACTGAACGGCTGCCCCACGCCTAGTGCTCTACCTAATGTATAGGAAGCACTCAACAAGTATTTGTTGAATAAATATGCCAATGATTCTGACTTACATGATTTTTTCCCATTAACGTTTTTTTTAATTAAAAATACATATGTTGGTAGAGAAAACTCAAAGTACAGAAATGCTTAAACAACAAAAATACACAGAGGCACTGTTTCAGATCATTGTTGCTACAGTTTAACATTTTAAATGTGCCTCCATGTTACTCATGCTACTCCAATTAAAAATAAATAGTTTATAACTGCTGTTATTACTGGTCTTGTGATATTCTCTCATTTTTCCTACTTAACTTTGATACGAGATGTCTAAATTGAAAATAAAAATTGTCGTCTCAAAATCCCGAGCTATAAATTATTACAGGGACATATTTGAAAATGAGGTATAACACTCCAAGACTGCTCATTGCAAGAATGAGCAGTTAGAAAATGGTAGGTTGTTTGAATGCAATCTGCACAGAAACACAGAAACTCTAGGAATTTCCTGAAAATACTACCACCTGGGCCTGGAGCCAATGACTATGCACAACCCATCAGAGTCTCTGCCTAGCTCTGCTTATGCTGTGACGTGTGGGGAAGGCGGAACATGCTTTGGTCTAAGACACAAGCTGTCCAGAGGTGGTCTTTGGATTGGGAGGCCCCATGCTCTTGGCTTGCAGAGCAGAAGAGCACCCAAAGTACATTTGCTGAGAGCATCTCACAGTGTAGCACCTTGGTTTAGATTCCCCTCCTCCTCTGAACCCCGGCAACCTAAAGGGCATCAGAGATGCTTCAGGGATGAAGAAATGCCTCTGCAGCACCAAGTCATATTATTCTATCCATAGGCTGTATTGTTCTAAAATCTTGATTTTTCTGGAGGCTTTCCTATCCAGAGAAACAACATGGTATTTACTGCCTAGCAGAGTGCCATATGTTTGCTTCACTCCATAGCTAGGTCAGGAAACTCATCTAATCAAGGACCCACAGTGGCCTCTGTAGGTGTTCTCCACTCTTGGGCTAACAGTACTCAAGGCAGAGGCAAACTGGAACTTCAGCTGCATTTATTTGTTGGCATGTGAGATTCTCCTCTCCGCTTTCTCCAAGTTAATTGTACCGGATAATTACTTGGCTCTACAGAAATAATGAGACATCGTCCTTGTGTTTCTGGAGCCCAAGGTTCTGCCTCAGATGTTATTCTAATTTTACGAGGTCATTTTGTGCCTTGCTGCCATGTTATCTGAATGGTTCTCATAAACCTTTTGAGTAGCTATAATAGCTGTACCCTCTTGAGTGTGTTTGTTGAAGAGTTTCTATGGTGCAGTGGAGAAGGTTGTTGTGTGTGCTACTCAGCCTGCACATTTCAGGAATTCTGGGGAGACCAAGGTGGCAGAGTAGGAGGAGGCTGAGCTCACCTCCCCCCACAAACACACTGGTAACACACCCACATGTGGAGCAACTCTCACTGAAAACAAACTGGAGACTGACACAGAGACTCTTATACAATCAAGACCGTAAGAAGGATCCACACAAAATCTGGTAGGAAGGGAAGAGAAGCGATCAGGTTGGGACTTGCACCCATAGCGGGGGACACAGAAGAGAAGGGAGATTACATGGCCTCAGAGATCCTCCCTGGGAAGCAAGTGGTTTGAACCACATTTTGGGTGCTCCAGCCCTGGGGTCTGACGTCAGGAGGATGAGTCCCCTTAGCTGGTTTGCAGACCAGTGGCCCTGACAGCGGGGCTGTAAGAAACCTCGAGTCTGCTTGTGAAGCGTGTGCGCACACTCGCTTACTCCCAAAACAAGGCGGAGGGAGCAGATGAAAACTACCCAGGACCCTGGCTGCTTACCTGTGGCCATGCCTGCAGGTTCCCCGGCCCAAGTTGAGCACCTGGACCAGCCCGCTGGCTCTGTGGTGCAGCTCCACACTACAGCAAGGACTGCCATGGCCAAGGGGGGTGCGCAGTTGTGAGGCGATGGAGCTGCCTTAGACCTGGCACAGCATCTGAGTGGGGGGACAGTGGCCATTGCTGTCACCCCTGGAGGCAGCAGAGTGGGGGCCTCCCAGAACTCTAACGGTGCCAGGAACACCACAGCCTGCACCTTGACCCACACTGAGCGACCACTCCAGGCCCTCTTGCTCCAACACTGCTCCCCTCTGGGGCAAGGGTGGTGGTGGTTGGAGAGGGGAAAGCACACTCTTGGAGGGAACAGAGCCATCTCAGACCTGACGCTCGCGGCTTCTGCTCCAGCAACCAGGAAACTGCCCCCACTCCCCAGTGGGGTGGTGATGGTCACTAAGCAGAGGAGAAGCCCTGAATCACACCTGGCTCCAGCTCTAGCACCTCCATCTCCAGCCCCACTTCCTACCAAGGTAAGAGCGGCCAGCACACCCTGGAGGAAGACGTGCCTCAGGCTCAGGTCGGATCCAGCTCTCCCTGCAAAGCCACTGGGCACATGCAGACTGTAGAGGGAAGCTCCCACAAAAGGACACCCCTTCAAGACCATATAGGTAACTGGTTCACCTAACAGAGAAAGTTAGCAAAATGAGAAGACAGAGGAATTTGGTTCAAATGAGACAAAAGAAAACCCCTGAAAAGATAAGTAATTAAATAGAAATAAGTAATTTATCAGATAAAGAGTTCAAAGCATTAGTAATAAGAATAATAACTGAATTAGAGAAAACAATAGATGAACACAGTGAGAATTTTAACAAGGAACTAGAAAATATAAAAAAGAATGAGTCAGAACTGAAGAATACAATAAATGAGTAATGAAGACACACACTAGAAAGAATGAACAGCAGACTAGGTGATACAGAAGGACATATAAGTAATCTGGAAGATAGACTATGAAAATCATCCAATCAGAGCAGCAAAAAGAAAAATAAATTCTAAAAAGTGAGAACAGTTTAAGGGACCTCTGAGACAACGTTAAGCATACCAACATTCATATTATAGAGCACACAGAAGGAGAAGAGAGAGAGAAAGTAGTAAAAAAATGTATTTGATGAAATTATGGCTGAAAAATTCCCAAACCTGAAGAAGGAAAAAATATCCAGATACAGGAAGCATAGAGGGTCCCAAACAGGATGAACTCAAATAGACACACACCAAGACATATCATAATTAAAGTGGCAAAAGTTAAAGAGAGAATTCTAAAGGTAGCAAGAGAAAAACAAAGAATCATATACAAGGCAACCCCCATAAGGCTATCAACTGATTTTACTGCAGAAACTTTGCAGGCCAAAAGGGAAAGTGCTGAAAGTGAAAAACCTATAATCTAGAATAATCTACCCAGCAAGGTTATCATTTAGAACTGAAGGAGAGATAAAGAAATTCTCAGACAAGAAAAAACTAAAAAACTTCATCAATACTAAACTTACCCTAAAAGAAATGTTAAAGGGTCATCTCTAGGTGGAAAAGAAAAGGCTACAGTAAGAAGGAAGAATCTGCAGGAAAGGAAAAATCCCACCATTAAAGGTAAATATATAGTAATGGCTGTGAATCAACAACTTAAATAAGCTAGTACAAAGATTAAAAGAAAAGAATTGTAAAATCAACTACAATAAACAGTGAAGGGATCAACATGAAGATGGAAAATATGACCTTAAAAACACAAAATGTGGGGGGAGAATAAAAAATGTAGATCTTTTAGAATGTGATTGAACTTAAACGACTATCAGTTTAAAACAAGTAGAAATAGTTATAGGTCATTACATATATGTAACAACAAATCAAAAACCTAAAATAGATACACAAAAAACTAGAGAGAAAGGAACACAAGCATACCACTAAAGAAAATCATCAAACCACAAGGGAAGAAACTACAGTAACAAAAGAACAGAAAAGAATTACAAAAACAACCAGAAAACAAGTAACAAAACAGCAGTAAGTACATACCTGTTAGTTCACTTTAAATGTCAATGGACTAAATGTTCCAGTAAGAAGAAATAGGGTGGCTGATTGGATAAACAAAACAAGACCCATCTATATGATGCTTACAAGAGACTCACTTCAAACTGAAAGTGAGGGGATGGAAAAAGATATTTCATGCAAATAGAAGTGACAAGAAAGTGGGGGTAGCAGTACTCATACTAGACAAAATAGACTTTAAAACAAAGACAAAAGAAGGGCATTATATAATGATGAATGGATCAATGCAAGAAGAGGATACTATACTCGTTAACATATATGCACCCAATACAGAAGCACCTAAATATATAAAGCAAATATTAACAGATAGGAAGGGAGAAATTGACAGTACAGTAAGTCCCGTACATATGAATGAGTTCTGTTCCAAGAGCATATTGGTAAATCCAGTTTGTTCGTAAGTCCAACAAAGTTAGCTTAGGTACCCAACTAGCACAATCGGCTATATACTGCTGCTTTTACACTTGCTTCCAGACATGCTGGGCTTGAAATAAAGATACTGTACTATTGTACCCTATGCAATACTGAACAGTGAAGTACACAAAAGCTCAACCACTCGTAGAGGATGCATGCACATGACAACATATGCCAGACAAGTGAACTAACTTACCTGATCAGACATGCGAAGGCACGTTTGCATCTTTGAAAGTGCACAACTTGAAGGTTCGTATATAGGGGACTTGCTGTACAATAATAGCAGGGGACTTTAACACCCCACTTACTTCAATGGACAGATCATCCAGAAAGGAAATCAATAAGGAAACAGCAGTCTTAAATGACACACTAGACTAGTTGGACTTAATAGATATCTATAAGACATTCCATCCAAAAAGAGCAAAAGAAACATTCTTTTCAAGTGCACATGGAATGTTCTTTGGGATAGATCACATGCTAGGCTACAAAACAAGTCTGAATAAATTTAACAGGTTAGAAAATATATCAAGCATTTATTCCAACCACAATGGTATGAGACCATTACAATCAATCAATTACAGGAAGAAAAATGGGAAAACACACACACGTGGAGACTAAACAACACGCTACTAAAAAATCAATGGATCAATGCTGAAATCACAGAGGAAATCAGAAAATTCCTTGAGACAAAAAAATAAATAAAACAAAAACACAACCTTCCAAAATCTATAGGATGTAGTAAAAGCAGTCCTAAGAGGGAAGTTCATAGTGATACAGGCCTACCTCAAGAAACAAACAAACAAACAACTTTCAAATAAAAAACCTAACTTCTCATCTAAAGGAATAATAAAAAGAAAAACAGCAGAAGGGAGGAAATAATAAATATCATAGAGGAAATAAATAAAATAGAGACAAAAAGAAAAGATCAATGAAACCAAGAGCTGGTTGTTTTAAAAGATAAACAAAGTTGATAAGCCTTTAGTGAGGCTCATCAAGAAAAAAAGACAGAGGACCCAGATAAAATAAGAAATGAAAGAGGAGAAACAAAAACTGATACCACAGAGATTCAAAACATTTTAAGATAATACTACAGTTATAGGCCAACAAATTGGACAGCCTAGAAGAGACGGACAAATTTCTAGTAAAATACAATCTTCCAAGGCTGAATAAGGAAGAAATAGACTAGCTGAACAGATCAATCACTAGTAGCAAAATTGAATTTGTAATTTTAAAAAAAAGCTCCAAGCAAACAAAAGTCCAGGACCAGACAGATTCACAGAGGAATTCTACCAAACATATTAAGAAGAGCTAATACCTATCTTTCTCAAACTATTCCAAAAATTTGAAGAGGAGGGGATGCTCCCAAATTCATTCTACAAGGCCACCATTACTCTGATGCCAAAACCAGATGAAGAAACTACAAAAAAAGAAAATATCTCTGATGGACATAGATGCAAAAATCCTCAACAAAATATTAGTAAACTGAATTCAATAATATATAAAAGGGATCACACACTATGATCAAGTGGGATTTATTCCAGGGATGTAAGGATGGTTCAATACCCATAAATCAACCAATGTGATACACCACATTAACAAAGGGAAGGATAAAAATCACAGGGTAATCTGAACAGACACAGAAAAAGCATTTGTCAAAATTCAACATCCATTCATGATAAAAATTCTCATCAAAGTTGGTGTAGAGGAAACCTATCTTGACATAATAAATGACATTTATGACAAACCTATAGCTAACATCTTATTCAGCAGTGAAAACCTGAAAGCCTTTCCTCTAAAATCAGGAAGAAAACGTGTTCGCCCGTTTTTGCACTTCTATTTAATATAGTATTGGAAGTCCTAGCCACAGTAATCAGACATGAAAAAAGAAATAAGAGGCACTCAAATGGGAAGGAAAGAAGTAAAACTGTCACTTTTGGCAGATGACTTGATACTATATATAGAAAACCTCAAAGTCTCCATCAAAAAACTATTAGAACCAATAAACAAATTCAGTAAAGTTGCAGGATGTGAGATAAGCATACAAAAATCTGTTGCTTTTCTATACACTAATAATGAACTATCTGAAAGAGAAAGCAAGAAAACAATCCCACTTAAAATCAAATCAAAAAGAATAAAATACCTAGGTATAAACTTAACTGAGAAGGTGAAGTATCCATGCTCTGAAAACTCTAAAACAATATTCAGGAAATGAAGATGATACAAAGAAATGGAAAGATATCCCATATTCATGGACTGGAAGAATTAATATTGTTAAAATGGCCATGCGACCCAAAGCAATCTACAGAGTTAATGCAACCTCTATCAAAATATCAATTACAGTTTTTCACAGAACTAGAACAGATAATCCTAAAATTTATACGGAACCATAAAAGACTCTGAATAGCCAAAGTCATTTTGAGAAAGAAGAACAAAGCTGGAGGTACTACAAGCCAAGGAGCCACCAGGAGCCGGGAGTGAGGCCTGAACACACCTCTCCCGGCAGCCCCAGAGACAGCGTGGCCCTGTCAACACCTCCGGAGCTGTGAGATAACACATTTCTGGGGGTTAAGCCAGTCACTTTGCTTCATTACAGTAGCCCTAGTAAGTTAAATAGAACATGTGGCCTAAGAGGGCTGTGCTCACTTGGAAAGAAGGCCCAAGGCTGGCACCAAGTCCAGCTTCTCAGGTGCTCGCGGGAACACATTTCACCAGCTCCGAGTGTGGTGGGCCACAGAGGGGAGGGGCCGGGCCCAGGTGAGTTTCAGATTTCTCTGTAATACTGCTAAAATCCAAAAATCCGTATGTCTGTGCCTAAATCCATGATGTTTTCCAAAGCTAGTGGATCCTGGGGCACTGGGAGGGGAAGACAGGAAGTTAGGACTTAAATTTTATTTCTAAGTCTTCCAGGCCCAGAAGGGTTGCCTCCAGTGTTTCCAAGGAGGTCTTCACTTTCTGTGCTATCTTTGGGTTTAACTCACCGCTTGGAAAGACCTTGAGTGTTTGATTCTGGAGAAATGTTTTCTGTCCTTTCTAGTCTGTGCATATGAAAATGAAGTTGTGGTTTGATACTTGAAAGGAAAAACAGATTATTTTGTTAGCAAATTGGTTTTCTTGGATCAACAATCTGGAGAAGCGAACACTGGAACTGGCTGCAGGGAGACACAGCCTCAATCTCCAACAGATGAGACTGATTCTCTGCAAATTGCACCGAGGCTGGTGATGTTAAGATAACCAACTACACATTTTCCACATGCATCCTTAAAAACCAATGTGGAATGTAAAACCTGCAAGTACCTGGCCTCCACAGAGAATGCTTTTTTTTTTTTTTCCCCTTTCCCATCTAGATTGGTGTAAGGAGCTCTGGATCTGACGGCTTTAGCAGTTGACAGAATCTATCAAATTTTTCTTAAAATCCCCAGAGCTGCAGACAATGCAGAGCAGTTTGCTGGATTGTGAGATTTTCCTTGAGGGGAAGAATATGCTCGGCATTGTTGCTCCTTTGCAACCAGTCTTGCAGAATGGGAGCAGCTGTTCTGCAAATTTTTTGTGTGATGGAGAGGGGAATCTACCTTTCATTCTTTGCATCCTCAAGTGGGCATGCAAAATACATAGAAACATATAACTGTCTTGACCTCCCTCCTTAGTCTCTCTTTTCCTCACTTCCTTTTTTTTCTTCCCCAATTCTCTTTTTGATTTGTGCTGTGAGAGGAGAGGGCTGCTTATGCCTGAGCTTCTTCCTCTGATGACAAGGAAAAGTGTAGGGGAAAACGATCAACTCTTGTACAGGGGCCAAAGGCAATTACTTTGCTTTGAGGATTCCTGGGATGAGGGAATGAGCCAGGAGCTCTTTCAGGAGAGGAAGGGGAGGGGAGGTGTATGAGTGGTCTGCCACTCGTTCTCCCAGGGGCAGCTGCTTCCGCAGAATCCAGGCTGCAGGACGGCTGAGCTGCTGCGAGCTGAGGTGCCGAGGCCCAGGACTCAAGTGCAGACATTACAGAAATCAACGCCAGTTTAAACGGGAAGATTATTTTAACCTTGGAATGTCACTTTATATGTTTCAATACATGGTCCATTATTTACTCTCCAGGAAAGTTTCACTCAGGGGCCCCCTTCTCTCTGTGCTTATTTGCGACGGCCAGACCATCAGGCAGGCGATGAACTGCAAATCGAAACAAGCTCAGCATCCCCAACGGGTGGGGGTCGTGACCTGTGAGGGGCACGGCCAAGTGAAGACAGGCATCTCATTCACCATGGCACGCTTGGCCCTTTCTTTCGTGAAGCCGAGGGTGAAGAGGTGGCGGTTACAACCCAGAAAGGTGCTCAGTGTAGGTGCTGAGAAGGTGGGCCCTACCCCTCCATCCATCCTGGTGGGACCTCCACGGAACAGCCCTAACTATTCTCAGAAGGAAACAGAGTCAAGTATTTGGAAAGTTACCTTCCATTAATTCCCAGGCGGGTCTAAAGCCTTCTGATGTTAACTGGCAACGGTGTTTCATTTGGGGAAGAGAAGCTATGGTCTCCCCTCTTTACCCAGCTGTGCTCCAATTCTGAAGTCACCTTCTGAGCACAGGTGGACTAAACGCCTGTGAGCCTCAGTCCCGTAGTAACAAC